CCCGGCCGCTGCTCTGGGTCTGACCTGTTCGTACTCTGCGCCTGTGACCCCCTGCCCCGGCCGCTGTTGGCAGGGACAGTCCCTAAGGGTCTGGAAGGCAGCTGGCACGTGGTGGGCACAACAGCAAACAGCACGTGGCCTGGTCACTGGCAGAGCCTGAGGAGAGAGAGCCCTGGCCTGATGGCACGTGGCTTTTCCAAGGATGTGACGAGGGATCTCCATGATTCAAGCCGGACATAGGGACCAGTGACCGCCTGATGCTCAGCCTTGGGCCAGTGCCGCGGCGAATGGGGAAGGTTCTCCTCTCGTGCCCCACAGTTCCCAGTCTCCCAGCACTCGGGTGCTGCCAAGGATGGCCCCTCGTTAATGCGACCGGGAGAGCGGGTCACCTCCAACCATCCTGCTTGGTGTCCAGGGAAAATCTTCCACTCCCGCAGCCTGGGCTTCAGACCTAAGGCCGCTCTGCTCCCATCGCAGAGAACGGCTGCCCCGTTTCCTGCGTCTTCACCCCAGATTAGGACTAGCCCTCCACTTCCCAGGGGCATCGGGGGCTTGAGCCAGCGTCCAACCAGTGTCTGCCGAGAGGGCAGCATTGCCCAAAAGCTGCCCCCGGCTGCAGATCGACTGGAGGCTGGGAGCAGCAGGGCGAGGGTGGAAGAGACGGAGCCATGCCCGGGCTGAGGCCTCAGGTGCGTGGATTTTACCACCAGGGTCTATTTTACCAGCTCCTCGAGGCCAGATTCCATGGGGCCACGAGGGGGCTGGAGGGTGGATGGGAGCAACGGGGCGGGGGGAGGGAGACCTCACAGCCTGCCCTTGAGAGCAGAAATAGGTCAATTGGGGGGGAAGCCGCCCCGCGCAGGGGGTCCGGCACAAGGGCCAGGCACTGCTTATCCCTCACTCCAGTCCCACAAGGCCCGACGCCGCTCAAGTCCTGCTTCAGCCCGAAGTGGTGCCTAGGACTGCCGCTGGCTTTGCATCGGTATTAGCCATACCCAGCGGGTGCCTTGTCTCCAGGCTCTCCCCACCCTTCCCTGGCTAGCCCTACGGGGTCCCGCTGGGAGCCGGCTGGATCAGCGCCTCATGCCCACAGAGGGTGGTTTGGCGAGGACTCTGGAGACACAGAGATTTTGGGGTGGTTCTTGATTAAACCTACATGAAGAGTGGGGGGGCGAGCGGGGAGCAGGGAGGCTGGGAACCATTCACACTCAAAGGACCACAGCGGCCGGATGGGTGGAGGAACAGCTCAGGGGTCGGGAATGGGACACGCGGCCTTTCACCTCGAGGTCATGGCTTCGAATGCAGCCTGGGTCGGTAGCGACCAAAGCACGTTACCATCCGCCGGCTGTTCAGTGGCCTGTGCGAAATGACTGGCTGGTCTCGCTCCAGGTCCTAGTGGACAGAAACCACCCATCACAATTGGCATTGCCTCGTAGCTGGCAGAGCAGAGATGGAGAGCGTTGGCAGGGGGCAGCGGGAGACAGTTGGTACCGGCGCTGCCCAGCCTCTCCCTGCTCAGCGGGGTTGAGCCAGCACCTTTCAGCCAATCAGCAAAGCTGCTCCTGCACTCGGCACCTGCCGCTGGGTCCAGGTTGCCTTGGAAGATGCTGCCCAGGGGGGGATCGGTGCATCCATCTTCCCGTTTGCTGATGTCACAATCCAGAGCAAGTGACATCACAAGGCATCACCACAAAGGTGACGGTGATGTCATAAGTGCCGGACTGTGGCCTCACCGAGTGGAGCAGCCATGGGAGGGGCCTCAGGGGGACGGGTCCCTCATGGGGTTTGTTTGTCAATCTCGACCGGGTTTTACGTCCTAAACGGTTTGAAAACACAGGCGCAGCTATCCCCGAGTTCCTATTTTCTCCCTATGTTTATTATGGACCAAAAGCAGAACCTCATCTCCGAGTGCTCCAGAGCAGAACCTGCTTCTCGGTCAGGTCCAAAGCAGGAAGGAAGCTGTTTTCTGGTCCTGGTCAGCCGAAACCTCACGGAAACATCTGATCTCGCAAGACATCTGCCACGTCAGGCGGAACCCGCTACAGCAGCGGCTCAGGAGGGATCAGCGCTGCTGAACCAGAACCAAACCCTGGCAGGCCCCACGCTGGACTCTCAGCTAAACGGCCTCCAGGCCCGACCGTTGTCTCCTTGACCCACCTATTGCATATTAACGTCTTTGTTTGATGTGCTGCAGTTATCACGGAGACGGAGGTTGGCCAGCTAACCAGCAGAGGGCGCACACAACACTTGTTTTTGTAGGTCCTGTGCAAACACGGGCCATTGTTTTTACCTATGTATTCATTTAGAAATGACTTGGTGGTGGATTTTTTAACAGGTAGTTAGAACCCAGAGGGAAATTTCCCACCGGGTTCTCTTCAGGCTCTGCTGGCTATTCTCTGCAGGGCACATCTGGGACCTACAGGGAGACACAGCTGTAAAAAATCCCGAGCTCTTCTTCATTTCAGCTGATACAAAGTAGGCAACTATTCCGGGCGGATGAGCAATGAGCTGCTATTTCTGAAGCAGAACGTTCCCGCCTGATTGTGGGAGTCAGCAGAATGACTAAACCTGCCAGCCCGGCCCCCGGGCTCTGCGCTGGGCTGCAGCGAGATGCTCCCCCAGGCACGGAGAGCTCAGCTCCCCAGGCACAATTCAATCTCGGGGTGCCCCCGGCAGGAAGAGCGGAGTTCCTGGACTGGCTGACTTCCACGCTTTGAGTCCAACTCAGGGCCTTTCCCGGAGGTGGGGCCCACTCAGCAGAAAGAGGGGAGCCCCTGGGTCAGGCCACGGGCCTGCGGGCATGGAGCAGGCTCCACTTCTGGCATAGAAACCCTCCGGGAGTCCCAGAGCCTGGAGCTTGTCTTCGAGCGGTGTGGCAGGGAGGGGAGACGTCCATGTGTATCTCCACGAGTGTTTCATGCTCTCCAGCCCCGCGCACGAGCCCCGCTGGTGTTCGCACTTGTGCAGAGCAGTCACCAGAGTTCCCGCCCGCAGCAGGGCCGGGCAGCCTGCGCTAGGTCTCCTCTAGCCTCCCGGCTGCAGGAGCGACTCAGGGAGCCACCGTCTCGCCTAATCTCCCCCACCCAGCCCACCCCTTGGGGCTGAAGAGACCCAACGGCCCTGCGGGGTCAGCCAGCATCCCCCGGTGCCGGGGCTTGGACAGGGGGAGGGGCGGCGGAGGCGGCTCGGGGGGAGGGGCGCACCCACCTCGATCTCGCTGCCTTCCCGCAGGTTGAAGGTGAGGTCCTGGTGGATGTCGGCCATGAACTTGCTGGAGTACTCGGGGTACAGCTCCAGCACCTCCACCAGGCCGCGCAGGGTGATGTACTGCAGGTCGCAGTAGGTCAGCGCCTTGACGTCCGCGTTGGTTTTGATCACCTGGTCCTTGCCGGGCAGGTCGGCCCCAATCAGGTCCCCTTTGCCTGCGGGCGTCAGGAAAGGGGGGTGAGCAGGACGAGGGGTTCCCTGGACAGGCCCCGATATAGCCCAGGCCTCGGAGGGTTCACGCGCCTCCTGGCAGGCCCATTGTAGGGATGGGAACCTGAGGCACAGAGCTGGGGGAAGGGCCTGGTCCCCTTCTAGCCAGGAATGGAACCCAGGAGTCCTGACTCCACCCAGGAAGGAGACCCAGCTTCCGCTGCTCCGGCCCAGCTGGGGGGCACCAGGACCTGCCGTTCATCTCACAGGGGAGCTGGGCACCTTGCTGGCCAGGGAGGGCCCTTTGGACTGGCCCCAAGAGAAGCTTGTGGCGATGCTGGGGGTTGTCACCGGCCCAGCAGCGATCTGGATTGGCCACAGGGCCCTGCCTGGCCCCTCACATGGCGTATCTGAGACCCTGAACCCAAGGGTGGGGCTTTGCCGGCTCCCTTCACGGCATGGGGCTCCCAGGGGAGTGCCCATCTCCACCGCCGCCGTGTGACCAGGGAACCAGGCCCTGCTCTCAGCAGGTCCCTCCGGCAAGTGGGGAGGGGGGGAGACGGGCGCCTCGGAGCAACCGCCACCCACTGCCCGGTGAGGCCCCAGCACCTCAGAAACTTGCTGCTGGGGGGTGTGGGAAACCCCCCAACACAGCCAGGAAACAGCAGGACAGGTGGACGGACAGAAAGCCACAGGGCTTGACAGGCCGGCCACAGGCTCTGCCCCTGGCAGCTCTGCCCCGTCCCCAGGGAACCCCCCCTTTGGCTGTCGGCCCTTCGCCAAGGCCCGGTGCCCCCTGCTGCCCGTGAGACCAGGGGTGGGGCTGGCGCACGCCGGGCACTGCCTTACCCAGGATGGCCAGCACCATGTTGTCCTTCAGAACCTCGAGGGAGCCGGAGCAGACGAAGTAGTGGGCCTGCAGGGCGTCGCCCTGGCGCAGCAGGTACTCGCCGGGGGCGCAGAAGGAGGTCTTGATGTGCAGGGACAGGGCGCGCAGGCAGCCCCGGCTGGCCGTCTCGAAGAGCGGCAGCTGCAGGATGTCTTTGTTGAGGTGCATGGCGATGTCGGCCCGCAGCTCGTCGGGGAAGTCGCGCAGCAGCTGCGGGGGCAGCGGGAGGGAGTCAGGGGTGCTGGCGGGGGGGGGGGGGGGGTGCCCGGCCCCCGGCCCCCCCCGGGGCGGGGGGGGGCAGCCACCCCCCCGCCCTCCTGCAGGAGATGCCAAGGCCGTTGGAGATACGGACGTACTGTCCCCTGCACGCTCACAGCTCTGCCCGCCCGGGCACCCCAGCGTTACCGGCCCAGCATCGGGCACTCAGCAGCAGCAATGGGACCTGGACCCCTCGGCCCCAGACGCACAAGCCCCTGCCCCGCCCTGCCCCTGGCACAGCGCTCTGACCCTCTGCAGCTGCAGCGAGCATGCGCCCCAGCCAGAGAGCCAGCTCCCCTGGCTCCGTCCCTCCATGCTCTGTGTTCAGTGGGCAGCGCCTGGCATGGGCGCGGGGGCACCTCCTACCTCGTTGGCGTCGATGCCGTTGTTCACCGACCAGGTGGTCTGGAAGTACTCCAGCATCCTCTGCTTGAGCTGCTGCGGGAGGCGATGCACGCGGATGAAGTCCTTGAGGTCCTTCATGCGGGTGTGGTAGAGGGAACGGCGGGAGTACATGCGCTGGATGATGGCCGTGACGTTGCCAAACACCACGGCGTGCATCAGGGCTGCGGGGAGAGCCCAGCACCGTGTCAGCGCCAAGGGAGCAGGGAGCCCGGACCCCAGGCTGCACCAGCCCAGGGCTGAGCTCCTCTCTGCCAGGTGCCCTGCAGCGCCGGGGCAAGCTATCCGCGAGGGGCCTTTTCTGCCAGCCCCGGCAGCTCGAGGCCAGCTTGGGGGGGGGGGGGGGGTGGTATCATGTTCACCTCCCCTGGACATGGGGCTCCCGTTAAACCTTCCCACTTCAGCAGCCAGACACTTGGGGAGTTGGCACGCCAGGGAGTGTGTGATCCTGCCACCCCCCACTCACCCCCAGGGCGTGCACCCTAGTCCCCCCGCACTGCAAGTGTGTAGAACCAATGTGAATGAAATTGTTTTTAGTTATCCTGTACCATTGTAACTTCTGTTCACCATTTCATAACACCTGCCATTTTGCCTACATTGTAACTTTCATTACACTTGCCATTTTTCCTACATTGTAACTTCTGTGCCATATTGTAATTCAAACCCCATTTTAAAACGCTTACTCCATTTTGTAAGGGCTTGTGCTGCAACCTTCATTTTTGCAAACCCTGCTGTAATTTTATTAGTCTAGTTGAGATGTGTGAATGAGGGATGCATGGGTGATAGAATCAACCTCCAGCACCAGCCCGTCCTGATGAGATAAAGTTCAAATACCAACGGCTGAAGAACTAGACAACAGCCCTAACTCAAGCAAGAAGCATCCACCCTAAAAAGAAACAACAGAAGGAAGATCAAAGCCAGGGCCCAGGCTGACAGTCACACCTGCAATTGACGGGTGATCAAGCACCAAACCCAGAGGCGGCGTGACACAGCGAGACCTAGGAACTTTGAATCCAAACTAAACTCCTATAAAAAAGGAAGGGTGAGATGAGAGACTTTGGGTAACGTTCTGCTATCAACATCAAGGAGCATCGGTGCGCGCCCGACAGAGACCC